AGTAAATTCTTAATAAATTACTCAACAAATTACTCAGTAAATTCTCAGTAAATTATCAAAAAATTACTTAGTAAATTACTCTGTGAATTCTCAAAAAATTATCTGTAAATGTTTAGGAAATTATTCAATAAATTCTAAGTAAATTACTCAGTAAATTCTTAATAAATTACTCAACAAATTACTCAGTAAATTCTCAGTAAATTATCAAAAAATTACTTAGTAAATTACTCTGTGAATTCTCAAAAAATTATCTGTAAATGTTTAGGAAATTATTCAATAAATTCTAAGTAAATTACTCAGTAAATTCTTAATAAATTACTCAACAAATTACTCAGTAAATTCTCAGTAAATTATCAAAAAATTACTTAGTAAATTACTCTGTGAATTCTCAAAAAATTATCTGTAAATGTTTAGGAAATTATTCAATAAATTCTAAGTAAATTACTCAGTAAATTCTTAATAAATTACTCAACAAATTACTCAGTAAATTCTCAGTAAATTATCAAAAAATTACTTAGTAAATTACTCTGTGAATTCTCAAAAAATTATCTGTAAATGTTTAGGAAATTATTCAATAAATTCTAAGTAAATTACTCAGTAAATTCTTAATAAATTACTCAACAAATTACTCAGTAAATTCTCAGTAAATTATCAAAAAATTACTTAGTAAATTACTCTGTGAATTCTCAAAAAATTATCTGTAAATGTTTAGGAAATTATTCAATAAATTCTAAGTAAATTACTCAGTAAATTCTTAATAAATTACTCAACAAATTACTCAGTAAATTCTCAGTAAATTATCAAAAAATTACTTAGTAAATTACTCTGTGAATTCTCAAAAAATTATCTGTAAATGTTTAGGAAATTATTCAATAAATTCTAAGTAAATTACTCAGTAAATTCTTAATAAATTACTCAACAAATTACTCAGTAAATTCTCAGTAAATTATCAAAAAATTACTTAGTAAATTACTCTGTGAATTCTCAAAAAATTATCTGTAAATGTTTAGGAAATTATTCAATAAATTCTAAGTAAATTACTCAGTAAATTCTTAATAAATTACTCAACAAATTACTCAGTAAATTCTCAGTAAATTATCAAAAAATTACTTAGTAAATTACTCTGTGAATTCTCAAAAAATTATCTGTAAATGTTTAGGAAATTATTCAATAAATTCTAAGTAAATTACTCAGTAAATTCTTAATAAATTACTCAACAAATTACTCAGTAAATTCTCAGTAAATTATCAAAAAATTACTTAGTAAATTACTCTGTGAATTCTCAAAAAATTATCTGTAAATGTTTAGGAAATTATTCAATAAATTCTAAGTAAATTACTCAGTAAATTCTTAATAAATTACTCAACAAATTACTCAGTAAATTCTCAGTAAATTATCAAAAAATTACTTAGTAAATTACTCTGTGAATTCTCAAAAAATTATCTGTAAATGTTTAGGAAATTATTCAATAAATTCTAAGTAAATTACTCAGTAAATTCTTAATAAATTACTCAACAAATTACTCAGTAAATTCTCAGTAAATTATCAAAAAATTACTTAGTAAATTACTCTGTGAATTCTCAAAAAATTATCTGTAAATGTTTAGGAAATTATTCAATAAATTCTAAGTAAATTACTCAGTAAATTCTTAATAAATTACTCAACAAATTACTCAGTAAATTCTCAGTAAATTATCAAAAAATTACTTAGTAAATTACTCTGTGAATTCTCAAAAAATTATCTGTAAATGTTTAGGAAATTATTCAATAAATTCTAAGTAAATTACTCAGTAAATTCTTAATAAATTACTCAACAAATTACTCAGTAAATTCTCAGTAAATTATCAAAAAATTACTTAGTAAATTACTCTGTGAATTCTCAAAAAATTATCTGTAAATGTTTAGGAAATTATTCAATAAATTCTAAGTAAATTACTCAGTAAATTCTTAATAAATTACTCAACAAATTACTCAGTAAATTCTCAGTAAATTATCAAAAAATTACTTAGTAAATTACTCTGTGAATTCTCAAAAAATTATCTGTAAATGTTTAGGAAATTATTCAATAAATTCTAAGTAAATTACTCAGTAAATTCTTAATAAATTACTCAACAAATTACTCAGTAAATTCTCAGTAAATTATCAAAAAATTACTTAGTAAATTACTCTGTGAATTCTCAAAAAATTATCTGTAAATGTTTAGGAAATTATTCAATAAATTCTAAGTAAATTACTCAGTAAATTCTTAATAAATTACTCAACAAATTACTCAGTAAATTCTCAGTAAATTATCAAAAAATTACTTAGTAAATTACTCTGTGAATTCTCAAAAAATTATCTGTAAATGTTTAGGAAATTATTCAATAAATTCTAAGTAAATTACTCAGTAAATTCTTAATAAATTACTCAACAAATTACTCAGTAAATTCTCAGTAAATTATCAAAAAATTACTTAGTAAATTACTCTGTGAATTCTCAAAAAATTATCTGTAAATGTTTAGGAAATTATTCAATAAATTCTAAGTAAATTACTCAGTAAATTCTTAATAAATTACTCAACAAATTACTCAGTAAATTCTCAGTAAATTATCAAAAAATTACTTAGTAAATTACTCTGTGAATTCTCAAAAAATTATCTGTAAATGTTTAGGAAATTATTCAATAAATTCTAAGTAAATTACTCAGTAAATTCTTAATAAATTACTCAACAAATTACTCAGTAAATTCTCAGTAAATTATCAAAAAATTACTTAGTAAATTACTCTGTGAATTCTCAAAAAATTATCTGTAAATGTTTAGGAAATTATTCAATAAATTCTAAGTAAATTACTCAGTAAATTCTTAATAAATTACTCAACAAATTACTCAGTAAATTCTCAGTAAATTATCAAAAAATTACTTAGTAAATTACTCTGTGAATTCTCAAAAAATTATCTGTAAATGTTTAGGAAATTATTCAATAAATTCTAAGTAAATTACTCAGTAAATTCTTAATAAATTACTCAACAAATTACTCAGTAAATTCTCAGTAAATTATCAAAAAATTACTTAGTAAATTACTCTGTGAATTCTCAAAAAATTATCTGTAAATGTTTAGGAAATTATTCAATAAATTCTAAGTAAATTACTCAGTAAATTCTTAATAAATTACTCAACAAATTACTCAGTAAATTCTCAGTAAATTATCAAAAAATTACTTAGTAAATTACTCTGTGAATTCTCAAAAAATTATCTGTAAATGTTTAGGAAATTATTCAATAAATTCTAAGTAAATTACTCAGTAAATTCTTAATAAATTACTCAACAAATTACTCAGTAAATTCTCAGTAAATTATCAAAAAATTACTTAGTAAATTACTCTGTGAATTCTCAAAAAATTATCTGTAAATGTTTAGGAAATTATTCAATAAATTCTAAGTAAATTACTCAGTAAATTCTTAATAAATTACTCAACAAATTACTCAGTAAATTCTCAGTAAATTATCAAAAAATTACTTAGTAAATTACTCTGTGAATTCTCAAAAAATTATCTGTAAATGTTTAGGAAATTATTCAATAAATTCTAAGTAAATTACTCAGTAAATTCTTAATAAATTACTCAACAAATTACTCAGTAAATTCTCAGTAAATTATCAAAAAATTACTTAGTAAATTACTCTGTGAATTCTCAAAAAATTATCTGTAAATGTTTAGGAAATTATTCAATAAATTCTAAGTAAATTACTCAGTAAATTCTTAATAAATTACTCAACAAATTACTCAGTAAATTCTCAGTAAATTATCAAAAAATTACTTAGTAAATTACTCTGTGAATTCTCAAAAAATTATCTGTAAATGTTTAGGAAATTATTCAATAAATTCTAAGTAAATTACTCAGTAAATTCTTAATAAATTACTCAACAAATTACTCAGTAAATTCTCAGTAAATTATCAAAAAATTACTTAGTAAATTACTCTGTGAATTCTCAAAAAATTATCTGTAAATGTTTAGGAAATTATTCAATAAATTCTAAGTAAATTACTCAGTAAATTCTTAATAAATTACTCAACAAATTACTCAGTAAATTCTCAGTAAATTATCAAAAAATTACTTAGTAAATTACTCTGTGAATTCTCAAAAAATTATCTGTAAATGTTTAGGAAATTATTCAATAAATTCTAAGTAAATTACTCAGTAAATTCTTAATAAATTACTCAACAAATTACTCAGTAAATTCTCAGTAAATTATCAAAAAATTACTTAGTAAATTACTCTGTGAATTCTCAAAAAATTATCTGTAAATGTTTAGGAAATTATTCAATAAATTCTAAGTAAATTACTCAGTAAATTCTTAATAAATTACTCAACAAATTACTCAGTAAATTCTCAGTAAATTATCGGAGATGACCTCGGCTTCTCCGAGATTACCTCGGCTTAACTACCAGGGCACGTGGCACCTCGGCTGACACGTCGGCGTCACCATGCCACGTGTTGGTATTCAGAAAATATATCCCCACAGTGGGCATTTGGGACTGAAAGTTCCAAACTGGTTAATTGAGACAAGAATTTTAGCTTAGTAATACTGTGTTTGGTTGGAAGATTTGGGGAGAGATTTGAAATGGAAAAAGAAAAGGTATATGAAATTAAGTGAAATGAAAATAAAATACATTTCACCTATCTTTTCTCTTTCCTTTTCCAAATCCCTTTCCAAATCCTCCAACCAAACACAATGTAAGGCTGGCATTGTTCTTGAATTGTCTTCTCCTTCTTCAACTACCCAATGCTCAAAAGTTCTTGCCATGTACGGCTCCTCTAATTTACGAAGACTCGATATGACACCTGGTGATATTCGTGTGAGATCACGAAATGATCTCAAATCAAATAACTTATGGTGAGTTAATTGGGTGAAATGTTCTGGGACCTCTTTAATCCAAGAACTATAAAGACTAAGAATCTCGAGCTTTATTAGTTCCAATTATTGATATGTCATCACCCAACTTGCAATAATCAAGGCAGAGTGTTCAAAGTGTAGTGAGCAATTGAATGGATGGAGGCAAAGAAAGCATACTATTGCTACTCATATCTAAGACTTTAAGATCTTTCATTCCTTCAGAGAAATTGTTAGGAATTTGCATTATTTCAAATCTTCGTGAATTCCATTGTAGCAATAAAATCTCCAGTTTTGAGAATTCTAGTCCACTTGGAAGCTCACAAATATGATTATCCATGAACGAGATCCCCGTGTAATTTTGAAATGTCGTATGGTTGTCTGGCCAGTCTGTTAGTCCAATACCAGCTTTCACGATATGCTTGTTCTCTTCTTTACAAGCAATATGTATTGCAAAGTATCGAACAACATCATGCATCTTAATTTTTCCATACACTTCCAATAACATAAAAGATGACACGAGAGTACTCACAATAGCAAGTGCTCTATGTCCAGCATCTTCTGTTGTGTCCACTTCTTGAAACAACCCAAGGCCTATTCCGTATCTCACCAAGGCTTCCTTGGGAATGTCATTGTCCTTTGGAAACAAACTGCAGAGTAAGAAGCATGGCTTTTCCTCACTTTCTAAATAATTGTAACTCAACTCGAGAGAAGAATATACATATGATTCCATGCCTTTGATTTTTGTTCGAACAGGATTTTGTAGCTGTCGAGCTGCATCAATCCACACGTCCTTGCTTGGATTTTTCATGAGAGCTCTTCCAACTGTTACAATGGCAATTGGCAGGCCACCACATTCCCTCCACACCTCTCTCGCGATAGCATTCAAATCCTTAGAGTCAACGATTTCACCTGCTGTCCCTCTGAAAAGTATCCATGCTTCTCGTTCATCTAACACTTCTATGGGCAAAATCTTTTGAGCATCCATTTTGTTGCAGACATCTTTGCTTCGAGAGGTGAGCAAGATCTTGCAACCCTTATGATCTTCCCCAAAAGGAATACCGACCTTCTCAATCAGTTCAAGTCTGTCCCAAATATCGTCCAGTACTAACAAAATCTTCTTCTCTGACTCGGCCCTAGTTTCAAGATTCAGATTTTATTCGTGGGCTATTTTCTCTTGGATCTTTGCCCACTTCGGAGTCTGTGACATGACCACCATTGCAAACATATCGAATTTCTTCTCTGCTTTAGCTTGTCTGCAAACTTTTTTGACTATAGTTGTCTTACCAACTCCTCCCATCCCACATCCCCCGATCACATTGATGTTATCATCGTCTAGAGCCTTCATAATTTCCTTCACCATTGACTTCCTTGATTCAAATGCTGCAAACTTGTTGATTGCCAAAGATGACTCTATTTCCAGCAAAGAAACACGGTATGACACAGTATCGAAGTTGGATTTTGTGAGCTCAGTAATTTTGCTAGCTTTACGTTCTCCAAAGATGTGCTGGACAGTGGCATTGAGGTCACCCATCCAAAGTGCTTGACCTTCAATCATTTTTTCCATATCCGTCAACTTTCACTGATACTTTGATCAGGTTGGGTGTCAGTTTAACACCATGACCAAAATTCTTCCAACAATGGATATTCAACAGCATAACGACCTTTGCAGCAACAAGTGAGGCCGAACAGAACACAAAGTCATATGACATGTAGGCGAAGGAACACAATCTTGTCAATTGATGATACTGTTGCTTCTCTTTTCGCATCTTTAACTACCATTTCCACTATTTCACAGAATTGGATTTTTAGTTGTTTGAGCTGCACTAGACAATGGTGAGGGAGTTACAACAATACTGTATATAGAAACTTTGGCCAAGTTTTGCAAGCTTGTACTAGTGCAGCTGAGACTCGTTCCCAGTACAACTGTATCAATTCATTCTTCCTCATGCGTTCCAATGATTTCCTCCAGATTTCAGCATTCTCCGACCTTTAGCTTCATGAGTTGGACAAACCCTTGTCCCAGTGATGGTGGAAACACCTGTCTTAACTTGTCACACCAGTCTCACAGATTTATTTCCTTTTCACTTAAAAACCAATTTTGAATTGAATATCATATAATACAGATATAGTGATATACATACGCTCAAGGTATTTACATGATTTGAAACCAGTCTTGCAATCAGAAATAGAAAACTAAAAAACCAATGCAAATCATGCTCTAATTTCCATGGTTGTAAGAGAAGAATCATAAGAATGAGAGAAGTAAAGAGGAACCTGATGTGAGACTCAACGACAATCTCCTGAGCAACCTTCATGACTTGGATCCCGGAGGAATAAGGGGCCGCCGGTGAGGAGGAGGGTCAGAGCTGCCCCACACTGTGTCTTCTCTCTTCTTCTCTTTGTTTTCTTTTTGGTTACATTTTTAGTCCTCATCTTTTGCATTGTTATATTATTTTGATTCTATAATTTTATTGATTCGATTTTAATTTTAAATTTATGATTTTTTTAATTTGGTATAATTAATTACAATTGTTGATATTTTTTTGATAAAAAAAATGTGCAAATAAGTGACATGTATTACGTTTTTATTAACAAAATTGTAAACTTGTTTAACTCAGTTAGTTAATCTCAACCGACTTAATAACTATTTTTTCCTTCAAAAATCTTAATCGGTATTACCAATTGGATTAAATTAATACAAAATTTAAAATTTTAGATCAAAATTGAGCTAATTAAAATTACAAAAATTATAATAATAGAAGACGCAAAATACAAGCAGCTTCTAATGTAATTTACTCATTCTTTCAAGACCGACATGACGTACTCTCAAGTAGTCACACAACTATTGCTAAAAAAAAGGGATAGATTATACAAATGGTTCATGTAATTTATACGTTGTGTCATTTTGGTCCCTGCAATTTTAATTTGCTTGATTTTGATATTGAATTTTGAACTATATATCATTTTGGTCCTATTAAAAACGAAAGTTAAGAAATTGGACGGAAAATTTGCACGTGAATGACAAGTGATTGGTGTTCAAGGACAAAATAGACATTTTGCTTTTCCTTTTAACTTCTTCCTTGCGTGTGATTGAATACAGCCACCGACCACCGTCGTATGCCGTTCCATTGCCGCTGCCATAGCCAAACAACAATCTCGACATCAACAGATCATTATAACTATCAAAAATTACAAAACAAAGATATCTTCAGGTCCTCTCCATTAACAGTCTTCAAACCTTGCAATCCATTATAAACTATGAAACCATCACATATTGACCATCGTTTAACAAAGGTCTCTTTGGGTCGTGCTCAACGTGAGCTTGTCTTGGCTTCCCCACAACAATTATATGAGAACCCAATGTCAATCCACATGGAAGAACAATGATTCCTCCACGGTCTATGAATTCAGACCCTGACAATGAAATCGAATATGGGCACCACTTCGGTCAATTATTTGTAGTCTTTTTCACATCATTTTGAGCTTTCCCTGATTCAAGATCATCCCAGAGCTTCTTCCCCAATTTGAATGCCTCTTTTGCTGACTTCAAAATCCTTGAAAACCCATTTTTACTACTATTATTGTGATAACCCTGTTCCGTATTATGCTAATTAATCTTAATTACGAATGTGATTATGTGTTTGATATGATTTTAAGTGTCATTTATATGAATATATGTGGTTTTGAATTTCTATCTGTTCACCGCAAGAAAATCTGTCTGACTTTCTACTTTGGAATTTAATTGAAGGCCCTATCGGCCACAGAAACCGAAATTGATTACGCCATTGTGATTGGCATAATTTTTAGAGCCTACAGTGAAATTTAGTTGAAAATCGATTCGGATCAGATTAAATAGATTAAATTGATGAGTTAGTGCTCAATTAATTAACGATAAATGAAATATGTTTATGAGAGCCTATAAAAAGGCTCATGCTCACTCAATTGCTCTCTTTTAATTCATTTTGGCTAAATTTAGCTCTCTAGGAAGTGAGAGACCCGAATTTAGAGAGAGAGAGTGAAGACAATCTAAGGTTTGATCAAGAGGCTTGGAATCTTGAAGATACACTCAAGATTTAACTAGAATTTGTAAAGATTAAAGCTCCTAGGTGAGTAAATTCATGAGTTTGAGCTTGTGATTTTGTGAATTCAAGATGTAATGGTGATCAAGAACATGAGTTGTGTTGATTTTGATGAGATTGAAGTCTATATGCACATGCATGCATAGAATTGCTATGAATTGCCATGAATTTGCATAATCTAACATGTAGCATGTCAATTATAAAAGATTGAGAGTTGGAGCATACATGCAAGCATGGTTTTGTTGAGTTTCATGGTTATAAGCATCATTGGTGCTATTTGAAATAGAATTGGGGTCAAAGACTAGTATGCATGCATGATTGATGAAGTTATGAATTTGGTATGAAGTTTGAATACATGGGGTTTGATCATACAAAATAAATGAGAGTTATTTGAGAATTAGATGATGACTTTGAACAATTTGGTGTCATACTCTTATATTCTCATGTAATATAATGTGTTTACATGTTTTTGAATTGAAATCATGAGTTTGGGACCTTTGAACATCAAAATTGAACTTCAAGAACAGTTTTGGAAAACCCAGAATTCGGCATGTCCGCTCGAGTGGGGAAATCGCCGCTCGAGCATGAAATGCAAGCTCCCAGAACTTTTTGCAGACATGGATGTCCGCTCGAGCGAGAAGCCATGTAGTGTGACCTTCAGCTCGAGTGTCCGAATTCACGCTCGAGCGTAAAAATGAGGTAACCTGTCACGACCCCATTCCGTCCCAAGTAGAATGGTGCCATGATGGCTAGTAATTCGAGATTACCAAAAGCCAACTTACAAGGATTCACACACAATCAGAGTATACATATGGGGCTTACGTGTGCAGAAGCAATAAATTTAAATCTAAGTAGTCCATAAGAGGTGTGCATAGATCAAATGAAATGACATACATCTTAACATAGTTTTTACAACTTGGATACAATAAAATAAAGTGCATAATACATCTTGATCAAAAGGCTTCTCAAGCTGACATAAACAAAAGAAGTAAACTACAAGCCAAGAAGCACGATCTTCAAGATGCTACAAAGATGCGAATCCAAAACAAGTTGCAAATAATCATCTAGGCGTCGCTGCCCTCTTACTCATCACTTACGTATATATAAGGAGAGGGTGAGCTTGGATACTCAGTGAATGATACTAGTAATAAAGGTTTTTGCATGCACGATATACAAGATCTCTTTCTAACAAAACATAGCATAACCTTTAGAAAATCAAGGGATGAACCAAGTCCATCAATCAAGTCTTTCAAATCTTCAAGGGATGCTTACTAGCATCAATATAATACAAGGGATGACATTAAACAAAGGTGCTACAAAAGCTTAGAGTCCTCTAGCACGTAAGGACTTGTGCTACAAAGGTTTAGAGTCCCCTAGCACGTACGAACTTGTGCTACAAAGGTTTAGAGTCCCCTAGCACGTACGGACTTTCCAAGAATGTCATCCAAAACAAGGCTAATACTTGATACACAAAATAGGGATAATCATTCATGCTTAACAAATACTTTTTCCAAAACAAAGCAAAGCAAAGCTTTATCAAAACTTTATAACATAACTTTATTAAAAATACCACTCACATAATTCTTCGGTTGTGGGGGTATCAAGCAAGGATCCAAGGCCTACAAGTACATAGTAAACCCCATTGAATGCACTTCAAGAAGACGAGAAGAGATGCTCAAACATGGGTATGAAATGCATTCTCAAAACAAGCTTTATATGACAGGAAAGGATCTCGGCATTTCTTTCAAAGTCGAGTCAAAACAAAGCAAAACATGCTGGGAGTTACAACACTGCTTTATCGTCTCAGGAAAACATGCTGGGTACTAACTAGGTCCAGGCCGAGGTCCCACACCTCGTGGCCGAGGTGTGTTCCCGATGACCACATTCAAGGAAATGAAGTCTGGGAAAAATCTGGGTTTCCCTTTTGATGAACATGAAGAACAAGATTATGAAGAACATGAATGCCAAAATCATAACTTCTTTATTCAAAATCTGAGATTTCATGGAATGAGTTCGAAAACATGGACCTAGGTACCCATACTTGAAGATTTCATGAAAACAAACACAAAAACATGGATCTCAATACAAACTTTCGGATCAAAACATGGTTTTGTTTCAAGAACACAAGAACATCATTTTCTCTTTCTAAAACAAATTTAAATCAATGCATGGCTCATGATTCATGCTAGATCATGCAATGCAATCGGATCAACATAAAGAATAACAAGAGTAAATCAAGATTCTAACCTCAAAACACGGATTGAATGGCTCAAACTCTAAAGATCAAGCTTGGGATCTAGCTCTCTCACTCCAACTTCCTCTTCTCTTGCTAGAGCTTCTCTCTCTACCATGCAAGAGATATGACACAAATGATATGGGTTCTCTACTGCCAGCAGACTTAACCCTCTGCTGGGACACGTGGTATCACCGGATTGGTTCTCCTCAAAAGGTGATTAAAAGACAAGACAAGTGCATGACAAAGTGT